CTCCCCCTCCCTGCGAGTGCCGTCCCGTCCCGTGCCGTCCCCGCTCGCCCACACCGCCGCCGCCGCGGGGCGTGCCGCGTCCAGCCGACAGATGCGCGCCGCCGGAGTCGCTGTGTGGAGACTCGCTGGAGCCCCGCTGGAGCCTCGCCGGAGCCCCGCTGGAGCCCCGCTGGAGCCCCGGAGCCGCGCCGTCCAGCGCAATCCATTGGTCACGCCGCCGGAGACACGCACGCCCCGGCCCGGGCCCGAGCCGCTGGAGAGGAGCGCGCCGGCACGCCATGCGCCTGGAGGGCCTAAGAGGGCCTGTAGGACTTAGAAGGGGGGGGGGAGGGGCGAGCAGAGCGAAGAGTACTTCACAATGAATTCGGACAGAATTTTCCCGGAATTTTCCTTGACTATACGCTTGAATTTTTCTAAAATTATCCTTGAATCTATCTAGAGGTTTCCTTGAATTTTTCTAGGATTTTACTTGAAATTTTCCTTGATTTTTTTGTGGGGGTGGGGTCACCTCCTTGGTTTTTCTTTAGTGAAGTTTAACCCATGCTCCACGGCGTCCGCTGCTGGTCCCCTCAAGTGCTACGCTCCCGTGCGGGGGCGCGCTATGGCTGGGTGTGCTTTTCTGCACGCTACCATGGCCTCGTGCAGAAGCGGGGCGTGCGCGCGGAGCAGAGAGGCTGCTGCTTCTGGAGCTGGACGACAATAAGGCCCCGAAATGGGCGCCCAACGTGGGGCTCTCCAGAGAGGGGCCACATTCCAGCCGCGCTGACACCATCTCGAATGCGAAGAGCGGCGCGCGGGGGGTGCGGCTCTGCGCGGGGCCGGGGCGTGGCGCGGGTTGCTCTCGCGAATGACACGTCATGAGTAAGAACGAGAAAGAGAGAGACAGAGAGGGAAAGAGACCCCCACAGAATGGCGGCCGACCTCTGACCCCCCGACCCCGTACGACCCAACAACGCCACGAGATGGCAGGACGCACGACAGCGCGCGGCGGGTCATCGCCACACTCCACCACCTCCGCGATGGATGATGATTTAAACACTGCGCGACGCCGACACAACGGCTTTTGCGAAATATCCGAACAAGAAAGAAGAAAGATCGAGGCGCGCGCGTGCAGCCGGGCGGCGGCAGCAGCCTGCTGCTGCGGATGCCGCGCCGAGGCGACTAAAAAGCCAAACCACGCGGAGCGACTTGTAATCACCCGAGGAGTACCGTGGCCGCCGCCGCAGCACCCGACGGACACCCTCGGACCGCCCTTTATCGGTGCTTTTTTCCCCCCCCCCCCCCCCCCGGCAGCGCAGCGCGCGCGACGAATCGGGCACATGCAGCTCCCGCCCCTCGGCCCCCGCCCCCCCCGCCGCCACCCGCGCCTCTCGCTGGAAATAAAACCCCGTCGGTGGTCTGCGCCGAGGACGGTGCGCCACGGCAGCGCAGCAGAGCACTTGTAGGCGCTGTCTTTAACGATACGCTAAATTTGTATTTTATTTGAAAGTAAACACCAGGTTGCTGAAAGTTAAACAATCGGGTACTTTTAGCTCTAGAACGTGTAAACCGCATGCCCATAAAGCGAGCGCGCAGGTTCGACTTCGACTTCGGGCGCCGAGCGAGTAGGCAACACGCCCACACCCGTGCATTGCGGCACAGTATGCTATGCTATACCACTGTGCCACCAAGCCACAAGCGCTGTACCGACTAAAAAGTCTATGGCCTTTCCACCAACCTGGTAGTTTTCTCCATTTCTGTTTTACTACCTTCTCCAAAACTATTCCGCAACATTTAATTATTACTTTTTTCAGACGGAGGCCCTTGATTCTCTCTAATAAATGTATACGTTTGTTTCCTGACTTTTGGACGACATTTTTCTTACTGTTCTGCTCACCTTGGTCCTCCGAGTCGTCGTGGCTGGGCTTGGTGTCGGCGGCGAGCGGCCCGTGCAGCGAGTTGTTGTTGGTCTCCTGCGGCCCGCCGCCGTGGTGGATGATGTGGTGCTTGACGGGGGTGGAGGCCGCGTTGGACGACTCGTCGTCCTCCTCGTCCTCGGACGCCGAGCACAGCAGCGAGTCTGCAAAAACAAAACCACAAACGGGATTAGCATTTTATGTTCTATTATTTGTGTATCTTTTTTTTTTTTTAATGCTGCTTGAACCAGAACTTTTTGTGTTACATGTGGAGCACCACAATATTAATGGGCGCTAAGTCAGTGGTATTCGAAGTCGTGCAGCTGTCCTTCAATAAGAGTCCGTATACTACCAGGGGTAGTATATAAGGTAGCTGAGGGGAAGAGGGGATGTCGCCCTAGACACGAACTACGGCAGCTCAGGCGACGAGGGTCTGTGTGTGTGTGAACAGGGCGAGCAAGCGCCCACCAATCGGACACGAGCACAGAGCCCTCGTCGCTCTCTCTCTCCTCTCAGATAACATCGCGGCAGCCCGGCCGGGAGGGGCCGGCCACCTGGGTCCCCCCCTACCCCTCCACCTCCCCTCTAGTGCAGCGAGGAGTGCAACCCGAGAGCAAAAAAGGAAGTCATAAGAATAATCGTAATGGCGGGTAGTGGAAGGGGGCAGAGGGGGGGCTGGGCCCGCGGCGGGGAGGGCAGCACGGCCCGGGCATGGCCGCCGAGAGCCGAGGTGAGAACACGACGGCGCGCAAAGGGCCCCGGGGCACCAACCAGTGCCTCAGCAGCGACCCAAAGGCACACGCAAGCCCAACAAGAGCTGCTTTTTCATTTTGTTTTTACAACGAATAAAAATAAAACACACGCGCGAGCAGTAGGTACACTCTCTCTCCCTCGCGGGGTAAGACAAACGCGCACGCGCGAGGGCAAGCCGAAATTTTTCAAAACAAAAATTAGAAATGAAATAGTTTATCGTAAGGAATGTTCGAAGTTTCGCGCCGCGCGGTGCGTGCTGCTATGCCGACGTGAATCATGGTGTTGGAGAGGTCGGTCGGTCGGTCCCGGAGCCATGGGAAGGAAGAGCCCCTAGCCATGGCTAGGCCATGGGCGGGCGGGGCGGCATCGAAACAAAGACGGACAACCATTTTTCATGTACGATCATTCTCCAACTTGGAGTAATTTTTTCTCACCGCAAAGGAAAAGGAGAAGGATGGTGGGGGTTACGAGTATGGACGCGGTGAGAGGAGGAAGGGGTGAAAGGGGGTGTGGGAGAGGAGAGACCAGAGGGGTGGGGGGGGGGAGGAAGGTATTCGTGCATCGCGTTCCGAACGACGCCAAATAAAACGTCGTCATAGACGTCGTCGTCAACGTCGTTGTTCTGGTGTCGTTCCCACAGCCGAGGCAGACGCGCCTCCACTACGTAGTAGGTCGGACAGGAGACGGACATGACGTGCCGGAAGTGGGCGAGGATCGGCGGAGGCCTGGCGTCGTCGCGGCCGCGGCGTCCGCGCGTCGTCCCGCGAAAGAGATTGCATATAGTTCCCGCGCAGGAGCTTCCTTCTTCGGCCGCGCTAAAGGGAACGAACGTTTGCACCCGCTCACCCTATTTTGACCGGTTTGAGAAGCAGGCGCGCCTGCGGCCCTGCTGTGGCACCACGTGACGCGCGTCCGTGGCCGTCTCTAGGCTCACTCGCCCGCGTAGGCGCGCTTCGGTGCGCGCCGACGAACTTGTCAGTGTGCAATCCAAACAGCAGTCCGACGAGTACCATCACCTTGCAGGCCGAAGCCTACTCACAGGCACATACACAGACACACACGCACACACACACACGCAGAGAGGAGGGCCCCGAGGGGCCGCCGGGCCGGGGCCTGCCAGCCCAGCCTGCCTTTCCTGGCCGTTTGCTTGCAGTCGGACAGAGGTTATGAATATTTCATAAATCCAGTTTCGACTTAGTTCTGAGGAGGAGGAGGGGAGAGGTGGCAGGGAGGGAGGGAGGGAGGGAGAGGCGCTCACCACCACCGCTGCCGCCGCCGCCGCCGCCGCCGCCGTGGCAAGTGGTCAGGGAGACGTGGCTGTCTGTGATTCATCTGCATCGGAATGGATGGTCCACCTCACTGACTGCCCGCCCAGCGGATCTCTCTCTCTCTCTCTCTCTCTCTCTCTCTCTCTCTGCGCTTGGAGTCACCACGCCGACGCACACGTACTCTAGACGTGCACCCCGAAGAGGAGTCTATACTACGCGACGCGGCACCCCACCGCGAGAGGTGCACCACTCTCCCCCACGCGAGCCCACCCCACCGGCGCGTACCCCGCGGGGGCCGCCACAGCGCGCCGGGTTGTAATTGGCTCGTTTTCCATCGGCAGCCGCAGCAGAATTTACGTCTTTTTAGCAAATTTGTTCTGCTGCCGCTCGCCCGGTGAGCTGCGGCGGGTGTGTGCGCGGAGCAGCGCGTCGTGTTGTTGGCGCGATTCGGTTTGGTAACAAGCTCCGTAATGTACGACCCCGGGGCGCGGTGGGGCGGGCGGGCCGCACCGGCGGGGGCGTGGGGAGGGGAAGGAGAGGGAGCCCCCCCGCGGCCCGCTGCAGGCCGGGCCCGGCCAGGGCCGTGTGAAACACTCCTGTTGGGGACCCCCCGCCGGCCCCGCGGCAGGCGGCTGGGGGCCCCGCGTGGCTGCAGAGCCCTCGCAGCGGCCCGCAGCGGCCGGGGCACTCGCAGCGAGCCCCCCAGCGGGGCGCGCGCGGGGCCCGGCGGCGTGCAGCGCCGTGCAGCGGGGCGCGCCACTCCGCGGCCGGGGGGCGGGGCGCGGGGGAGGTGTCGGGCGCATGCCGCACGCGGGGCGTGGCGTGGCGCGGCGGGGCGGGCATGCGCTGTCGTCACTCCCGCGGCCGGGCCTCTCCACTCGTCGTATGACAAATGGCCGTTCATACTGTAAGCTGTAAGACACATCATGGCGGCGGGCTAAGAGTTCTGCCCGATCTCCATACGCTCTCTCTCTCTCTCTCTCTCTCTCTCTCTCTCTCTCTCTCTCTCTCTCTCTCTTTCTCTCTTTCTGTCTCTCTCATTCACACATACACACTTACACACGAATGCACAGATACCGGTCCGCGCAGCATCGCGGCAGCCCTCATGCTCACATATGCTTTTGGTTCGAACCCAGCCAACCTCATATGGCAGTCCCGTGCACCTGCTGCTGCACTCAACCGTGCCGGGCAAACTGATTCGAATCACCGTGCGGGCGGACTCGCGGGTAGCTCACCACGTACAGCACCAGCAGCAGCAGCAGCAGCAGCAGCAGCAGCAGGAGCAGCAGGAGCAGCAGGAGGAGCATCAGCAGCAGCAGCAGCGGGCCGCAGGTCGCCGCGCCGGCCGTCAGACACTTTCATTGAGCCGCCATGAAATTCATTCAACATTTCGAGGCCCTTTTGTCCGGTGCTGGTGGCGGCGGTGCTGGCCGCGCTGGCGACCGGCCAGGAGGCACAAGTCAAACAATTTATGACGTACCTTATATGCATACGCATTCACCCCGACCCGTCCCCGGCCGAACCGCCGCCGCCGCGGTCCCAAATGATAGGAGAAAAGGACGAAAAGAAACGCAACTAAACTCCAAATTTTTACGATCAAAAATGGTGTCGTAAAAAAAGCCGCAGGACAGAAAGTTCCCCCCGGAGTCCGCCGGCTCCGATGCGCGCGCGGTTTCGGACGACAGGACTGCCGTCTGTCCGCGTTGTCTGCCCGTCCCCGTTCAAACCGTATTTGGCCGTACTACCCGGAGCGATTTAAGGTGCCCCCTCCCTCCTCTCCAGGACCCAGCCAGCCGACTGCTTACTTTGACGCGGCCAAATCTATAAAAACGAAGAGTCGTGCCGCGTCGAGCAGAGCGAAAATCGTAAAAATTTGAAGGAGCTCTCGACGGTGCGCCGCGCGCTGGAGTCGAACCCACCAGCCGGGCCTTTGTGGAGGGGCAGCGCACCGCCCTTATAAACATTGTAAGTTAGCGTCACCGCCAGCGACAAACACAAAAGACGGATGCAACCGAAAACCCTTACACAGCCGGTGGGGGCAGTACGATGCGGATGATGCGCGAGGTGTTCTCTTTCGTCTCTCTTTCTCTCTCTTCGCTGCCCCGATCGGTCGTTCCCCTCCTCCACAACCGAAAAACGCTTTGCTTTGCGCCCCTTCCCAAGAGTGCGTTTGACAGGAATGACAACATAAATTGACTCCCCCTTGAATTTGTACGCGCGTGGTACGACGAGGAAATAAAGGCACAAGGAGGATGTCCTTTTTTATCCGTGCCCGGTCGTCGACGGGCCTCAATAAAAGGCGAAAATATACAAAAGCAAAGGGCTGTCACACAATGAAAACCGTCTCTCCCTCTCTTTCCTTCACATATAAAACGGCCACCCCTCTACTCTTCTGCCTCTTTCACTCTTCCTCTTCCCTCCGCCTCTCTCCTCCGATTCAAAGAATTCCAGCAGGTACGCCCATCCAGGGTTATTGAATAAGTCTTCGGGCTTTGCCTAGCGGACAGGTGTCTCCCGCGAGCGAGCCGCACTTTTCACTCAACCTGGTGGAGCCGGGAATAATAAAACGGTTTGCGACGTCGTTCAAGATCGCAGGGGAGGAGGAAGAGGGGGAGGAGGAGGGGCGCTGGAGGAGAGGCAGGGACACCGCTGGGCTCGGCCCGGCTTTATTGAGCTATCAGTCAGACTCCGCGCGCAGCCCCGGGTGGGGGAGGAGGCCATCCCCATCGCGACCCTCTCTATAGTACTCCGTTGCTCCTGTCCTAGAGAGGCCGTGGCAGCAGCCGGGCGGGTCAGCAGGCAGGACCGATACGTGATAAATGCGGCTGTTAATGAACGTTCCATGAGAACCCCCCCGCCCCCTCATGCGGCTGATCAGGGGCAGCGTCCGAAACGCCACGTTTTACGGGTAAAGTATTTACACGCAGACGAGACGAGATAGTAGACGCAGATCTGCGTAAGTATTCTAACTTTCACCATAGCCGTCATTGTCATCAAACCTACGAAACGAAAACGATTCATATCTTTTCGAAAAAGTCGTATTTATTGCATTAATATTTTATTTTTTGTCGTTAACAAGTAAAAGAAGACGACAGAAGACCCATACAGCGCGGTTCAATGCGCACTTTTCCCTGGGAGCGGCC